TTAATAAAGACGCGGCTCTAGTTGCTGGTGATTGTCCTGTCTCTACAGATTTGGTAAGTGAGCGACCAGCGCTCTTTGTTTATTCAGTTTGTTCATATCGAACAAACTATGTCACTGAGTGTAAACGTGTGAGCCCCACAACCAAACTTTAACCTCGTGTAGGATTTTCACCTCATTTTGTGACCGTAATAACAAATGCGGCTTTCTGACGCTACCTGCCGAGTGCATCTAAGTTTCCGGGAAATGCTGAGGTTTTTTTCTCTCATTTGCCGTGCGGTATCAAACATTGCATGAAAAATACACACTTAGAGCAGTTCCTCGAATCAAATATCTCGTTAGTCGCGAGCGACGTGAATGGCTTCCCTGAATGAAAGAGCCAAACTGCAGTTAAAGTCCACCATTTAATAATTTGGCAAATAATTCGACTACAGATGTCCATGTAAACACAGTCACTTTCTCCCCTGTTGTGTGTGTGTTTTGACTCTGAAACACAGCGCGCCCAAATAGACACTCCCACACCATCCCACTTCAGTTCCTCCGACACTCCCCCTAAACAGAGCTGGACACGCCCACTTTTCAGACTTTTTCCAAAGTAGAGGTGTGAAAACACCCTGCTGAAACTAGGCGGTTTCATGGCCCTTTAAGGCTGCCAGGGACATTGCTACGCTGCATAAAGTTTGGCACAAAGAGATTGATGCGGCGCTTTGTCAGTGTTATTGTCTCACTCGGACATGGTGCCAGAGAGTTAAAAACTTGAGCCTGAATGCATAACCAAAGATTAGGTTTATCAGAAGTAGGATTCAAACCCATGCCACCAGCAGAGACTGCAAACTGAACACAGCGCCTTGGACCGATCGGCCATCTTAACATGTTTACCTGGCCCAAGCTGTCTCCCAGGACCCACACCGCAGCAATTTGACATGGAAGCTGGTGTTTCACAGTTTGCCCAGGGCCAACTGTCTGCCTTGTTGGTGCAGTAGGCAGCTAGTCAATCTAATAATCTGAAGGTGGGCAGTATGAGCCTCACACAGTGTTGGGCAAGCTACTTGAAAAATGTAGTGAGCTAAGCTATTAGCTACTCTACTTAAAATGTAGCTTAACTACACTAAAAGCTACCCTCTGGGAAATGTAGCAAGCTAAGCTAAAAGCTGCTTGCCTACATCTAAGCTATTTTTGCAATTTTTAATTTTAAATCGTAGCAACTTAAAGGGTCACGAAACACCAAAACACATTTTTTGAGCTGTTGACAGTCGTATATGTGTCCCACACTGCTAAAAACACTATTAGGACACCTATATTTCACTAAAAAGTGTAAATTGGTTGTTTTTGCGTTATTTCA